ATAAGAGATGAGGAATTAGTTCGTTGAGAAAAATTGACCTTAATAATCTAATTTTTTATTTAGTTAATATAGAAATTATATATGATCACACATACGAATACATATATATATATGTATGTGTGTGTGTGTGTATGTGTGTATGTGTAAGATTGCTATATATTAATATCATACTATTATACATATTCCATCACATCAAACAAACTTTTTCTCTCTCTTTTTCCTTTTTCAAAAATATATAAACATAAGTTAAAGCGTATAAAGTAAAAACAAATTAGATTTAGACGAATATATTAGATATGACGTTATATATCATTTATTTGATCATTTTAAAATTACGAAAAACATTATACGTCATCTAATCCTAATTCATAATAATTTATATTTTTCAAATTTTCCTTCACTCGTATATATAGTTTTACTTTTAATCGAAATAAATTTCGTATCTTTTTTTATTGGATAAAATATTCATAGATATTTTATATTTAACGAATAAATGAAAAGTTTCGAAAAATGTATCGTTAATCGATTTTCCATCCGTTTAATCGATCAAACAGATATATATATATATATATATATATATATATATATATATATATATATATAGATATATAAATAGATAGATAAATAGATAGATAGATGGTATACGATTTATCTATTTCGATCGAAAGATAATCGTGACACGATCGAAGATGCAAAGTACCGATTCGATACTTTAGCGAAAAGTTTTGCAAGGGTTTTAAAGGAGTTTCCCGATGCGTCAGGTGTACTTGAGAAATTAAACGATGACGTGAATAGAGAAAGCATGGTTGTGAGACGTCAAGCTGCATTGGCAAAGTAACGACGAGCTCGCCATAACGACGGAAATTGCAACAAGGATGAAGAGAAACGATTGAAGTGTATATATATGTGCGTGTGTATATATACGTATGTGTGTGTGTGTTCGATGGAGGATGTCAGTAAAGGTCAATAAAGGAAAAACGATGAAAAGAGGAGACAAGATAGATAAGAAAAAGAAAAAGAGAAAGAAAGAGAGAAAGAGAAAGAGGGAGGGGCGGGGGAGAGAGAGAGAGAGAGAGAGGGATAGAAAGATTGAAAAACGTAAACGTTCAACGTGATACAGGAAACAGCTGTGTCTGACGTCGCGGTTAGGCTAATTTCACGAAATGTCATGGCAATTCGTAATATCGACTTTTACCCCGTACAAGAGAGAGAGAGAGAGAGAGAGAGAGAGAGAGAGAGAAGTTCTTCCATTGGACAATTGAAATGATTTTTGATTTAAATTTATTTAATCTAATCTGTCACATATCGTTCATAATATAAACGCGAAGATATCACTTTTATGTTAAAATATTAAATAAATAAATGAATAAATAAATGAAAAAAAAAAAGAAAAAAAAAAGAAAAAGGAAATCTTTTATCGATATAATACAATATTATAACAGAGATCAATATATGAGATTATTGTAAACGTAATAATACGTTTAATGACGTAATATTATAATTAAAGAAAATTATACAACCACGTGTAAATATATATGTTTATTCCAATGTATCATAATTGAACTAATCGTGATATGTATTATAATAACAATACAATACGCATATTCTAATTCATTGATCCATGAATTATTCTATTATTCATTTTATACGATATTACGTGTTATTAATATATCCATATAACTCTTACACATTTAGAACAATAACAATTTTTTTTTTTTCTATTAACTATACCAAAACATATTTACAACCTATAAAGTGAATTTAATTCATTGATGTATGAATTACTCTATTATCTATTCGTTTGATGTAATTATTATTATTATAATAATTTCTCGCGTAAATGGATTTACATGTTTATAGTGATAACAATTTTTTCACATTAATCCAAGAAAATGTAATAAAATCTAATTTTCATTGATAAATAAATTTATTCTATTATTAATATCTTTATACCGATGTCTTAGAAAGGGGAAAACGTAAAAAAAAGAAAAAAAGAAAATGTTATTAATTTTTCAACGAACAATTTATTTATTTTTTTTTGTTTGTTTTTTGTTTTGTTTTATTTCTCTATATCACACTTTACTCTCCCATTTATCTATATTATAGCGATTTTAATTCCATCCACTTAAGTAAATTAATTAATCAATACGATACATTAATACACGCATTGGAAATTCATTGATCCATGAAATATTTTATTATACGTGTGTAATTTTTACGTTCAACAATAATGATTATTTTTAAAGAGAATGGCGCTTAAAATTTATTAATTTACAAAGAAAAAAAAAAAAAAGGAAAAAAAGAAAAAAAGAAAAAAAAAGAAAAAAAATTCTATACAACTCAATGGACGATTTATTCTTTATCTTTCATCCATTCTTTTTTTTTCTTTTTTCTTTTTTTGTATTTCGTTTCGTTTTATTTCTTTATCATCTCATTTAACAAATGATCACGACGTAATTCGCTCACTACACTTCAGCAAATGATTTAATCGATATACATGAACTCAGGAGTATGCCTATGAATGAGACATCAAACGTTTGTAATTTGGATGATCCTAAGCCAAAGAGCTAATCCAACTGTGCTAGTTTGCCTACTATATATCTACTCGATGGACCTTCGACGACACGGTCAAGCAAGTACGAGTGTGTGTACTTAATGTCAGCACCTCTACAATTTCCTCATCTGTGGAAGCTTTAAGAGCAATTGCGAGGGCAACTGCGAATGGTTTCTCAGTTAGTTCCGACATTCTCCAAATTAGCACCACCACTTCCATATATCCACATCGTTGGCATCGATCTTAACTTTTGAAAAAAAAAAAAAAAAAAAAAAAAAAAAAAAAAAATTATCATTCTCATATTACGATTTTGAAAATCAAAAACTTTCTCAATTCCCGTTTAATGTAAGAAATTTATCAATGAAAATTCCTAACGCTTGATACGTTGACATGAAAAGTTCATGTTAAAAAAGTTCTGATGATAAGAAAAAAAAAAAAAAAGAAAAAAAAAGAAAGAAAAAATTTTAATAAAAAAAACATAATGAACAAATACTGACAAATATTGTTATTCTTATTGTTGTTACTTTCTTTTTTTTTTCTCTCTTAATTGTACGTATATCTTTTGATCATTGTCAAAAATTAATTGACTGTCAACGCATGCACACACGCATACACACATATATCCACTCTCTCTCTCTCTCTCTCTCTCTCTCTCTCTCTCTCTGTCTCTCTCTTTCCTTTATTAATTTATATAAATAATTATTTATTATTATATTCGAAAATTTAAAATAAAAAAAAATAAAAACAAAAAAGAAGTGGAAGAAGTAAATGAATTAGGTAGCAACGAGAGCTTTCATAATTCAGATAAAATAAGAACGACGATAGCGTTTCGTATAATAACGTTCTAATTTGGTGGATACGAATTAACAAAATTGGAATGGCAAGTGGCAAGGATGATGAGCACGAACGAACGAACGTACGAACGAACGAACGAACGTACGAACGAACGAACGAACGAACGAATGAACGAATGAACGAACGAACGAATGAACGAATGAACGAATGAACGAATGAATGAACATATGTACATACACATTTACACATGTACATGCATACGTTTGTACGTTTGTACGCTTGTACATTTGTACGTTTGTACGTATGCTTTCCTAGCTGAAATTACAGAGTCGAGATTAAGTTGCGTAAGTCAGGCCTGTGTTTGCACGCTCGCCCGAAATTATAAGCGAAGAGGGGCTGCTCGTATTACGGGAAGGTAGGAAGGAGGAAGGGAGGAAGGAAGGGTGGGAGGGAAGGAGGGAGGAAGAGAGGAAGGGAACGGCATAGTCCTCGGAGATTAAAGTGTCGCGCGCGCGAAAGAGAGAGAGAGAGAGAGAGAGATAGAGAGAAATAGAGATGTCTCTACTTCGGTCTATGCTAGGAAAAATCACGGTCCTCGTTGGAAAATTTATTATAATTTTCGTATAAGTTAAAGTCATCTTTATGGCAGAGTAGTTTAATGCTTGGCGAATAAACGTTAAAAAAACATGACCAAGTATACATTTTATCTCTTTGCTGAGATAAAAAACATTTCTAACGAAAGAAATAAACAATGAAACGTTTTATACTTTAAACGTTATCAGTTTTTTTTCTCTTCTTCTTCTTCTTTTTTTTTCATTTTTCTGCTTTTTTTTTTTTTTTTTTTTACTTCATAATTTCTAATCTATCGAATTATGTTATGTTCGTAAAACTCGTTCTTTTCTTTTTTTTTTTTCTTTTTATTTTCTTTTTTTTTTCATTTTCATTTTCATTTTCATTTTCATCGATCGTTCGAATTAAAATTTTTCTCTTATTGAATTTTAATTCTTTTTTTTTTTTCTTTCTTTCTTTCTTTTTTCGACATTTCGTACAATTCATCGATGAAATTTTCAATTTGGTTTTGTTGATTTAACACCCTCGCCGTGATTTTTTAAAATTTATTTTCTTGTCGTATTGATTTTTAATTTTTTCCTTTTGCATTTCATACAACTCATTGATTGTTCCATTGATTTTATCGATTCTTTTAAACTCACATTTTTAAATGTATTAATTTCTCATATTGATTCGTCGATTAATATGATTCTCATTATAAATTTTCTCATAATGATTCTCATCGTAAATTTTGTCAAACTCAAATATTCGTCCTTTTAATTTTTAAATTTATTGTATTGGTTGATAAAATTTTCATGAAATTTTTTTAAATCCCTTCTTTAGACTCTTACTTTTGTTTCATTAAATTTTTCAAATTAAAATTTTTTACACAATATATATATATATATATATATATATATATATACAATTTAATACGATCGTATTAATTTTTAATATTAATTTTCATGAAATTGAATGAAGAAAATAGATTATTTTCTAACGTCGTAATTCTGTCGAATATTTTTCTAATAACATTAACGTAATAATATATTATAATCAATATTTTAATTAAATCAATAAATAACGAATATTTCTGTTTTAGGTGGCGACATCAAAGTCGAAATAAAAATGCCAAGAGAAGCCGAGGAAGGTACCACAATCGAATTAAGATGCGAATGGCGACTTTTGGGTGGTGCTGGTCTTTATTCTGTCAAATGGTACAAGGACGAACATGAATTTTTCCGATACGTACCAGATAACGATCCCAAAATACAAACATTTCCACAACTTGGTATACATCTCGATGTAAGCACATTACGAATATAAATATTCTATAATTTAATTTATACAAAGTGATGTCTAAATAAGAATCATAAGCATATTACTAATATAAATATTTTATAATTTAATTTGTATAGGGTGTCTCAATATCAATCATATTTCGTTAATCGAATTATTAAATAAAATATTGAAAATCAATCATGTAACACGTATGTTATTAATTTCTATATGGGTATCAAACGTAAAAAAAAAAAAAGAAAAAAAAGAAAAAAAAGAAAAAGAAAAAGAAAAAGAAAAAAAGGAATTAATAATAATCTCACGTTATTTAATCACAGCATAAAATCAGAAATAAAAAAAATTCTTCCACCCAATATTCGTAATGGTCGTTGTTACATTTTACACAGGAAATGTGATATAAAATGTGCCAGTAAAAAAAGTCGAGTGAATATTGCACGATTGATTCAAGTTACATAATAATTTAATAAAAGAGAAATTTTTACGAATTTTAGATAGCTACTAGATGCAATTTTTTTTTTCATTTTTCTTTTTTTTTTTTTTAACTCGTGACCCTTACGAGTTACGAAGATCGACATAGTTTTTTTTACTTCCTTTTATTTTTTTTTTTTTTTTTTTTTTTTTTTTAGATGGATATCTACAATTTTTTTTTTTTATTTCTTTTTTCTTCCATAATTATATAATAGTGATCGTTTATAATAAAAATTGTTTACGAGATAATCAGAGTATCTTTAAGCGCGTACAAATTAAAAGTATACTAATGAAAAAAGAAAAGAAAAGAAAAGAAAAAGAAAAAAAAATGTACTAATTGGAAATTAATATAAATATTCAATTAAAAATAATAACTTGAATATTAATTAAATAAATTAAAAATATTAATAAAAAAAAATATTAATAAATAGTAAAAATATTAGTTTAAATATTAATTTAAAAAATGAACAAAAAAAAAGCGTATTAATTAAAGGCATACAATCAAGAAGTTTTTCGTACAATTTCAAAAATAATCATCAGACTACATAATACCTTTAAAGGAACAATAAAACAGGATCACTCTTTTTATCAACTTTTTAAAATACACGATTTGTTAAATTTGTAAATAATTTATTTTTATAGGATGAAATATATATATATATATATATATATATATATATATATATACATATCGCAATGAAGTATGAATCTTTCATTCAACCAATTAAAATGCCTATTATCTCGTAAACGATGCATAGTAGCTGGATTTTTTTTTTATTTTTTTTTATTTTTTTTTTTTTTACTAAATATGATTTTAATTCCAACCGACCGTTGTTTTATAAATATGTTACAAAAAAAAATTATAAATATCCACGAATATATCTCCATTTAATTCGAGAGAGGGTTAAGAGTATGGAGAAAAAAAGGAAAAAAAGAAAAAGAAAAAAGAAAAAAAAAAAGAAAAAAAGATAAATAAATAAATAAATAAATAAATAAATAAATAAATAAATAATTTTAACAGGCGCTTTGTACTTAGTTGATTCGTTGTCATAACAAAGTACAAATTTTTCGCGTAATACATTATTTTAACACATAACTAGAATCAATCGTTACATATATGAAGAAACAAGAACCTTTACACTAGGAAGATATCCAGAAAAAAAAAAACAAAAAGAAAATAGACAAAATGCCAGGATTTTCATGATCCTTTGAAAATCTCCGAAGTAGACAAGAAGGAGGTATAACCGATGGATAAAAGAAAAGAGAAAAAAAAAAAAAAGAAAAAGAGACGCGTTACTTAGAAAAAAGAAAGAACAAAAAAAATAGAAATAACTAAAGAAAACGTTAGTAAAAATCGGTCCGAACTTCATAGAAAAAGAATAGAAAAATCTTTCAAAGCAGGTTTGCAAAGCACAACCGTTGTATTCCCTAAAGTGGTACAGGAGATCTTAAGGATTCTTCCGTCGACCGTACACGCGAGATTCGATGCAATCAATCTTGCAAGACCCACCAGTACGAAAACCAACGGAGCTTCCTTCTTCCACTTTTCCAAAGGTGTTTCCCTCCCTCTCACTCTCTCTCTCTCTCCTCTTTCCCTCCCTCCCTCTCACTCTCTCTCTCTCTCCTCTTTCCCTCCCTCCCTCTCACTCTCTCTCTCTCTTCTTGCCGTTTCCTTAACGGAGGTTACTAAAGGTGATGTTGGATGTGCACGTGTATGTATGTGTTTATGTGTACGTATGCGCATGCGTTCAAAGAAAATAATCGTCAAGAAAATCGACGTTCGAAAGTTCGATGCTCGATTTCGTACCGATCGAAAAGCTCCTATCATTCGAAACGATTTCGATGTAATTCATCTTCCGAATCGTAGGATATCGAGTTTACCAACAAAACCATTCGAACGACGACGACGAAGACGACGACGATGGCGATGGTTGCACCTAACAATCTTTTTTGAATCTTTTTGTTGGATAATCGTGAGAAAGATCCACGGAGTTTGCCAAAGGATAACAATGTTATTCCTTAGATTCTAGCGATGGGTTTGAACGTATCTTGAAAGATATCTCTTATGGTGGTTATCGTTAAATTTATTATCTTTAAATAGATTTTTTTTTTGAAAATAAACAAACAAATAAATAAATAAATAAATACACACACACACACACACACATATATATATATATTTTTCTTTTTTGGAAAAAAAATATATATTACATTATATTCACAGTGAAATTTTGTGGTAATAATTAAAAATATTTAAGTCCAGTCTTGATTAGATTTAGAAAGTATCCATATTAATAATAATATTTAGAAGTACTGATCTATTCTGACTACATTTATCAATTTTGTCAAGGTCTTTCATTCATATATTTTTATATATATGATTTTTTTCTGATATATATGTATATATATATATATATATATATATATATATATATATATATTTCATTCATAAACAAAATTTAGTAATTCAATTAATATTAATAATTCAGATTTATTAAATGCACGTGTTATACGATAATTTTTGATAAATTTACTATCGAATTACTATCGATTACTATCGAAATTGTATGATGCATTAGTTATTCTCAATAGTTTGATACTTCTAAGTCTTAATTAAATTTAAAAGTAATTATTATTATATTTAGTAGTATCGATCTATTTTGATTACATTTATTAAATTATATTGATCTTTCATTCATATATTTTCATACTTATATATATATATATATTTTTTTTTTTTTTTCATTTTATTTTTCTACCATAAAATCAATTATATTATTCCATATCCGAAGATTAATAATTATAGATTAATATTTGTATTAATAGATGGATATTAACTTAATAGAGAAGAGTTCGTTTTGATTATTTAATTTAATTTTATTAAAATACACGTAAATATAGTAATTTTTATATATCTAATATTTCGTGTATAAAATTTTCGATTATTATTTTAATTTTAATTTGTTCTTCATCAATGATCGAAAATCTTTCGAAACGTTCTGAATTTTTAGAATGAAAATTTTCTTTTTTAATTTTTCCATACAACTCGTCTAATTAAATTTTCAATCAAACAAAACATCGTATCTATAAATAGCATAAAATATCATTTCAATCATTTATATATTACATTTAAGAAACATCCATAATTAAAAACAATACTTTATCGTACATCCATATTCAATGATTTCTATTGTATGATAATTTATAAAAACATTGTCAAACATATTTCAAACGTCATACATAAAAAAGAAAAAAAAAAAAAAAGAAAATCAAAAACAACGTTTATTAGTAACTTTGATGAAATTTTTGATTTGCATCATATACGTATAATAAACGGGACAAATTTTTCTTTGAAAAAAAAAAAAAAAAAAAAAAAAAAAACCATACCAATGAACAATATCAAATAGACAATTGAAATTGTTTATTCGAGAATTTATATTTTTCCTTTTATGAAATTGATTACGATCGCTCGAACCCATCGCTATTTTTAGTCTTTTCTTATCCAAGCTACGTGATATCTTTGATATGTATCTTCGACTGAGATCGATATTACAGTAAAAGGAAAATCCTAGAAAAAGAAAGAAAGAGACAGACAGGGAGAAAAGAGAGAGAGAGAGAGAGAGAGAGAGAGAGAGAGAGAGAGAAAAGAGAGAATGCAATCTTCGTGGATACACTACATTGTTATCCTTCCTAGCGTCAACTATGAACTCGAAGAAAGCCTTGGATACTGTCGAGAGAACGAACGTGTATACTATACTAACGTAACTTCTACTTACTCCTTTATGATAGAATTTCTTCTGGTGATATCTCGGAACTTTTGATAATGGACATCAATTATCATCATGACAGATGTACGTAGAAAATAAACGTATAATTGAACGACATCATTAATATCAAAAATTTATTTCTCTAATTATTTTTTTCACGACGATAATAATAATAATAATAATAATAATAATAATAATAATAATAATAATAATAATAATAATAATAATAATAATTTTGTCAAACAATAAGTAAATATTTTCGATGGTAGAACGTAGAAAGAAGAGAAAAAAGAAAAAAAAAAAAAAAAAAAAAAAAAAGAAAAATATTATCCATCGTTATTATCATATCAATAATAATTTATCGAAAAATATATTTATAATATCCATCTATATTAAAAATACATTATCAAATGCGAATGTATATTCGAGAGTGTATTATTCTCGACTGTATTACAATCGTGAAAAGGGGGAAGTGTGGGTGAAGAGTGGGTTTCGGATGGTTGCGAGGTTCAAAGCTTCCTTAAAATATGGAACCACTTCTCCTGGTGTTATCTTAGGATTGTTTATCGTGAAAGAAATATCCAGAAATTCAATTTTCATCGTGATTTATGTTTTTCATTGGAGAGATAAAGATACAGAGTAAAAGAAAAAGAGAGAAAGAGAGAAAGAAAAAAAAAAAAAACTGGAAAACGTTAGAGTTCATAGGATGGTACGTTATCTTTTCATTCTCTCTCTTTCTCTCTCTCTCTCTCTCTCTCTCTCTCTCTCTCT